TCCTTTGGAAATGTCCTTGAGTTTGGGGAGCAGAAAGGCGTTTAAAGGGGCAAGGGCAAGGTTGTGGGGTGACTAAGTAAGGTTTCTCAGTGAGATTCCCATAGAACTGTCTTTCCTGCCCCTGAAGAATGAACAGGTGTGTCGTCTTGATGGAAAATAAAATTCCTTGAGGCAACTTTTCTGACCTTTGTACCACCAAATGTAGTTTTCCATTTTCTTAAGACCTTTCCCCAATGAGTCCCGTGGTCATCTTGTGTCCTTTGAGAAAATCTATGGAGACTACCCACTCGGGGCCAACAATAACCGTCTCCGTAACCTTCAAGGCTGACCTCTCTGCCTGGAACGTAACCGGCCCAGCAGACCCCCTTAGAAGTCAGTATTTAGCCTGGACTCGTTTTTTTAAAAGATACTCTAACGAAGCTAAAACAAGTGTATTGCTGGGGGGGAAACACAACTTGTCTGCAGCCATCCACTGACCCCAGGCATGTTTACATGCCCTGTGCTTGGAATAAGGCTGTGCATGTATGGACTGGAAGCCTCGTCGGAGTGCTTCCTGACCCCCCCTCACCGACCTGCCCAAAATTGTGTTAATGCTGGGGAGCAGCCTGAAGATTCGGACGCCCTGGGAAGAGAAAGCAGGGATCAGTATGGCCAGGGCGGAGATAAATGTGCAGACAAAGTTCTGTGGTTGGAGGGGCGCGGGCACTCTGGGAAGTGAGACTGCTTCCCTTTGGAGTCCTTAGGGAAAGTTGCAGCTTCGGGATCTGCAGGTGGTAACAAGTGCCTCAGCCAGCGGCCTGGAGGGAGACATCCGTGTGGGCAGGGAGACAAAGTCTCTGTTCGCCCTCAGCACTCCCTGTCACACAGCACAGACATGAGTGGCATCCAGCATGACGGCTGGCCCTTCAGCTGGACACAGTCAGCCTCAGGGAGTCCCCTCGAGACCTCAGAGTTCTGGGCATATGGGAGAGCTAAGCACAGGAAAACTACCTACACACCACTGACTGATCCCCAGGTCCCCGCCTAGTGTGACAAGCGCCAGCAACCAAGTACCTCCAGCTTCCCTCGCACCCACACGCCCAGGGAATCCACCTTTCCCTGGGTCGCCATTGTAGGGCGGAGAAGAGTGGCCCGGGCTACCAATCTGAAGGGCCAGAGCCAACCCCAAGGGGCTCCCATGACAGTCCTGCAGCCGACGCTGCACACAGTTTGATGAAGTAACAAGGTCTGGTCCTCCGCTTCCAAAAACCAGCTGCTGGAGAAGCCTGTAGATCTAACAGAGCAACTGGGATCTACAGTGTGTGATTGATTCTTCAGTGTATGATGGATTCTGTATCGGATCAATTTGAGACTGCAGACGTTGGTTAAGGCAACACCAAAGAAACCAGTTTGCTCATCTTTGGCTTTAGTGGCTAGTGTGTAACTTTGAATGAGAGCCGTAGGAACGGTCACCCGTGTGGGCACATGGACACGATCGGGTCAGTGACAACATTGTGCTTCAGGATTTATCTCGAAATACCCTCATCTTTCTCCCACGGAGTAGCAGGTGGGTCTGAACCCTCGGTCTTTCAGTGAGCAGGTCAGCACTGACCTGGCATCGCCACCCGGGCTTCTTAGAAAATGGTGCTGTGGTCCATGGGGCCATCGGGT